CAGTTTGCCAGAAAACGATACATAGAAGTTTATTATTTGAAACATTGATGCGTGATACACTGGTTGCCTCCCGCATAGCCTAAACCAGGTGGGGGATTGATCCTGCAACCAAGGTATGTGCCCTTGACCTGGAAGCGAACCCATGACCTTTCGGTCCAAGGGCTGGTGCTCTAATCACTGAGCAATTGGCCCAGGCTCCTCTTGACATTTTCAATGCATCTTATTTATAATTGAAAGATCACATTAAAAACCTCCAATATTAAACATCATGTAAAAAAAATCACTTGATATTATAAGCTACAGCATTTTTGTTAATTGTTAAACCACTTTCAGCCCTAGTTTTCTTGTCTTTTCAAATTTGGTGTAGAAAAGAGGTTCTTATAGCTCCTCTTCAGGTCTAAATGCTCATACTCTAAATTATGTGAATGTTGTGCATTTCAATAACAATTAAAATTTTCCTCAAAATGTAATAACCAGTCTACGTAAATATGTCTATGAACTTTTGTTGATTTTATTGTTGTTGTGGGAGAAAATTAAACAGTGCCATTGTAAATTGTTTGCCAAGTGCTATAGAAGTTAAAGCAACTCTGTACAACTCTAACATTTATTTTTTTTCTGTATCAAATTACTATGTTTAGATATAAGCTTGATGAACAGAAACAGACAAAAATCCCCAAATAAACTGAAGGCACTCTAACGTCTCATGCTTGAGAATTATTCTTTTGTACAACACAACGAACTTTAGAAAATGGACACACTGCTTTGAAATCCTCTTCAGAACTGTGCACTTGGTAAAAGCCTTTTGCCTCTAAAACGCTCTGCATCTAAATTATTAACATTTTTAGAGAAATTTGCTCTGATATTTTTAACCAAGCACTTTCAACTGATAACAAAGAAGTATTCAAATATACATGTTTGATTTACCTTAAAACGATATGAAAACCCATTAAAAAGTACAACTATTGTTTGCGTAATCTTCTTCTGAATTTGTGACAAAAATATGCATGGCACCAAAAGAATGTAATGTTCCATGATTTTCTTAGGTTTAATTTTAGATTCAACAGAGAGTAAGACTAAAATATCTACACAGAAGCTCAGCCATCCTAGGAAAATGAGACCTAATTTGACTTTAGCAATATACATTTCTTTCCTTCCACTTTCTGATTGCCGTAACTATTGCTTCATGTACCATGAATTAAAGTGTGTCTTGGGCATATTTGTTCGTTCTGTTTTAAATGAATCACGGCAGTTTGATATTTTCGGCTGACTGGAGTTAATACACTCAGATCAAATCTGCAATTTATGTAATCATATATGTGACATAAGTCCTAGATAAAAATCTGAAGGACTTAACCTTTCATAAATCCAGGGCTGTATATTAACATATATCACGTTTGACATCTGTGTCTACTTTTCAGGTTGGCTTGATAGAAATCCTATCATAAATAGAAGTGAAGTATGTATTTGAAGAGCTTCTTGGTTTACATACGATCTCTTACTTGATTTGGTTATTTGGGAAGGTGTTGAGTAAAATAGATGGATTAAAAAGATTACTGTTTGGGGGCATGATTTTGCCTCTACTATTGAATGAATTAGAGTATTGATTAATTGGTCAACAGGGCCCCAATTTTCCCTAAAGGAAACTGAGAAAAATATAGACCAAAAGGTGGCAGGTACTGGTCAGGACACATACTTAGGTTGTGGGTTTGATCTCCAATCAGGACACATGCAGAAGACAACCAATTGATCAATTGATCTCTCTCTCTCTCTCTCTCTCTCTCTCTCTCTCTAAAACTCAGTACTAATTTAAAAAAAGATTTGCAAGCCATGTTGCAACATTTCTATATAATCCTGAAAGCTGAAGCATTGAAATGAATGAAAGGATCTCATTTGTATTTTAGAATGATATCTCTGTGGTGGTTAAAAAAGGTGGAAAACTTAATAAGGTTAAGAGATATAAGAAGAATGCTGAATTACTCAAAGTGGCCCTCGCTGGTTTGCTCAGTGGTTAGAGCATCGGCTAATGGACTGAGCGTCCTGGGTTTGATTCCAGTCAAGGGCAGGTACCTGGGTTGCAGGCTCAATCCCTGGCCCTGGTCAGGGTGCATGCGGGAGGCAACCAATCAAATGTGTCTCTCTCACATCGATGTTTCTCTCTCTGTGTCTCTCCCCTTCCTTCCACTCTCTCTAAAAATCAATGGGGGAAAAATATCCTCTGGTGAGGATTAACAAAAAATAATAATAGTAAATTACTCAAGATGAACAATGATAAGAATCAGTTTCTAGAGAGTGGTTCTGGGTATGTAGAAAGAACTATTTACTCAAAAGATATTGAAAATATGCCATTTATTTGATTTGGTTATTTGGGAAGGTGTTGAATAAAAAATAAAAAGAAGCACTCAGGTTAGTGATTTCAGTAATTTATTCTATTTCTCCTTCAGTTCATGGTCACAGACAACAGTGGGGTAGGTCTTGGATGGACGGGGTTGGTGCGGGGTGGAAGGGATCAGTGAGGGGGGTGGGGGAAGGAGACATATGTAATACTTTTAACAAGAAGATAAATTTTTTTTAAAAAACCAAATAATATAATATACAAACACTTTTGAACCATAAAGCATGCTAAGCACTAAAAGTAAAGAGATAAATACTTTTACCAACCATAATATACATTTAATTACCCCTAGCACTCCTTTTCTTTTCTTAAAAAAATTGAATTTATTGGAGTGACATTGGTTCCCAAAACCATACAGGTTTCAAGTGTACAATTCAATAAACATCATCTGCACACTGCATCATACAACCAACGCACAAACTCTCTTTTCATCCCCACTTTCCCCCATTTTGCTACTTCCACAAAGACCCTCATCCCCCTTTCCCTCTGGCTATCACCACACTCTTGTCTGATATATATATACATATATATATATATATATACTATTATATTCATTATGCTCACTTTTCACACACAAAAAATAAAGCTTAGAGTAAAAGATCAGCCAAAGTTCACAAACCTCTATTGCTCCTTCTAATTCCCTGACAGTGCAATTTTCTTCAATATTTTGACATTTCAGAATTGAAAATAGACATATGTTAGACCTTTTACTTATGTCTAAAATAATTACATAAAATAATTATGAAATATAATATGAAATTAGACATACATACAGTATGAATTAATTACCATAGAAAATACATAACATCTCATCATTGATAAAAATGAGAAGTATTACCTCATTGAAGTTAAAATGATGGACCTTGGCAAAACCAACCAACAAATTGTTTCCTAGTTTTTGAGCTAAATAATCTTCTATACTTGTCATCATAGAACAATTATTTGTCTTTTCTTTTGAATCCTTACTATTTCCACTGCCTCTGAGCTTCTTTAGAGACGAAACCAAACACAACATCTCCCAGTCCCAGACATGAAATAAACTTTTATTGAGTGAAGGAGTGAACAATAAATGTGTTCTTGAATCCGAATTGCTGTGCTATCCACTCTGAATAGTGCTATGTTTACAACTGCTTATTACTGTATTATTTATTGAGTGTAATTCATTCAATCGCTAAAAGCTTGATGTATGTATAGGAAACTAAGATAATTTTACTTACAAATTAGGGAGGATAAAAGGGCCTAAGTGGAATTAATGTTTCTGTACTTCATTCAAAGTGATAAATTGTCAGTACTAGTGGTGTCAGAAGATATGCATGTATACTGAAGAACGAATGTAGAACGCTACCCAGAAAACTATGGGAAATGTTATATTCAAAAACACTATAAATAAACTAAGATGTAACCCAAAACTGTGAGTATAGCTGAAGCAAACTTTGATGGAAATGTCTAGTTCTGATTACATATATTAGGAAAATAATCTGAAAAATTAATGATCAAATGGGGGTTGGCAAAACTGTGGCCTATGGGCTAAATCTAGCCTGTCGTCTGTTTTGATAAATAAAGTTTTATTGGAACAGAGCCATACCCATTCATTTATATATTATGTATGCAGTTTTTATTGTAAAGGGCAGGATTGAATAGCTGTGACAGAGACATTAAGGCCTGCAAAGCCTAAAATATTTACTATACCACTCTTCACAGAAAACTTTCTAGGCCCCTAGAACTTCCATCTCAAGAAACTGCAAGAACAGAAAAGCAAGCCAAAGAATTGAAGGAATGGAAACAAGACAAAAAAAGAAGCCGAAACTAATGATTTACAATATGTACACATAAGGGATAGTTTCAACAAAGTCTCAAATTAGTCCTTTGAAAAAAATAAATAAAATTTACATCTCCCTAGAAAAACAACCAAGATAAAAGAGAAAATACAAATTTCAAGAATGAAAAGTAAGACATCACTAGTGTTCCTACACTTATTTAAGAAACTAATACTATGAGAATATCACAAACTATATGAAAATAATTTTGCTATCAACTAAATTATACACTTTCCTTGAGAAAATCTTATTTAAAAGAATACAAGAAGAAATAAAAAAATTCCATAAAACTATATCTATTAAAGACACCAAATCCATTACAAAATTATTATTAGAGTCAGTGTTTTAAGTGCTGTTTTTTTAAAAATCAGATTAATAAATGTTTTACTGTGTTATACTATTCTTTCCTAATTCTTGTTATTACTACCAGAACTATCCTATCCTATATAATAAAAGCCTAATATGCTGAGTGTCCCACCATTCATTCGACCCTTTGACCAGTCACAATGATGCACACTGACCACCAGGGGGCAGATGCTCCGGCCAGTAGGTTAGCTTGCTGCTGGGGTCCGGCCGATTGGGACTGGGCAAGATGGGCCGGACATGCCCTGGAGTCCATCCGCAGTCCCTCCCCAGCCCTGATCGTGCACCAGTGGGGTCCCTCGGCCTGGCCTGCACCCTCTCGCAATCTGCAGGCCAGGCCGAAACTGTGGGCCTCTAGTATGAAAGTAAGAACCAGAAGGCATCCTATATTAAGAGTTTGACTAAAGGTCCCTTTTTGAATTAAGAAAAAAATCAGAATTCAGTAACATGAACTCACCGACTCAAATCTGTCCCGGGCACATACTGAGAGAAGCGAGAATGAAGTAGAGGGAGCAGTCTCAGGTCACACCATCGCTTTTCCCATCTCAAGCCTGGAGAAGTTGGCCATGAAGAACATGATAAGGTGTCCTGAAAAGAATTCCAACATTCACTAGTGTCTTTTTTTTTTTTTCTTTCTGTGCTTTGAGTTTCTATTTCAAAAATCCTTTGGAGGGATATATTTTCCCCTAAATAATCAGAAGGTATTTACAGATTACCACAAGGAGAAGTCCATATTAATTAACAATGAAATTATATTCGTTAACTTCTTTATGAATGGAATTCTAACAGAAAATACAGCAG